ATTTGCATAGACCCGTTTTGTGTCATGAATGCATTTTGCATTTAATTTTGGAAATATGTGACGCAAAGATCGACCATAAACAGAATTTTTTAAAACAATTGTATTTATGTAAGTAATTTATTACATTTATTCAAGCATTAATTATGATCAGTAAAAGTATAAAAAAGAAACAAATCTAAAAATAAAAAAAAACCAGAATAATTACTGCAAATTGTTCATGTCTCATTAAAGTTTTTTCTTTTTTTCTGATGGATTCTTTTAATATCAGTTTTTCGAGAAAAAAGATTTGTGCAAGAAAAAATTGATTTTGCAGTTTCTACAATAGTTATTTTTGAACGAAGGATTACTTGATATGTATTCGTACCATCGTTTACTGTACTACATTCTATTGCAAACGCGATTTGCAATCGCGATATTGACTGCATCTACACGGAATCCGGTGAACGGTACACTTAAGAAATAGAAGCAACTACATTCATTAATCGTTGCAACGGGGCAGCACCTTGTGAGTGAATAACACGCGTATATACGCAAATGCGATCGTGAGAGGCGAGCTTGCTCGGAACTTTCTGATATATCGTGATGAAAGTTATTGCGGCGAATAGCACGTACCGTTTTTAGCCTGCAGGATTAATTTCTCTTTTTGAAAACAATTACAATTAATTATTTTATTTTATGATCAAAATTTCATAAATTTAAAAAAAATTTACATCTCTAAATTATATACATATTTTTCTAGCGCCGTAAATGGCGTAGAGCTAGCGTGCCAGCCTAGTAAGTCAGAAATGGCGAGTTTGATTCCGCTTCTTCTCGTAAAGTATTGACAAAAGCTTGCTAGCAATATGAGATGCCCTGGTCCCATAAGGTTGGAGGGTTGAGGCGTTGAGACTAGTACTCCGTTATTAAAAAACGTTGAAACATTAAAACGCTTAATTGTACTCCAGACATTACGCATTGGATAACGTTGCAAGACGTTCTAAACCCGATATACACATATATTACCATTATTGCAAAAAAATCTTTAAGGTCTATTCACACAAAATGATAAACAGTAATGTTATAATAATGTATTTATAGTAATTCATATAAAAAATACTATATATAAAATACTTTATATAATTATATATTATATGCAGCAAAGATAAAAGAAATACATAATTATATATTTCTCTTATTTTGGCTTAAAATATCAAAGAACTGACTTTAATTTATTTAAAATATTCGCAATAATTCAATGCTTTGGTGGATTGGATATAGAAAACGTTTTCTTGCCTTTCTTCTTGTTCGTCATTCGTCCGGAAATATTGCGCAAATATCTCTCTCGCCGGATGTCGGTCGAAATCTCGCGCGAATGCTTTAGAATGGAGGAGAACAGGAAAAGCGAGATCATTCAATCGGAAGGGGGAAAAAGGAGGGGTAGGGGCTTTCACGAGAGTGGTTTCCCTTTCGCCCTTCGCCGCGTTCTTGCTCGCGCGATCAGAAAATTCCACATCCGCAATTGCACCAATCTTATGCCATTGATCGTGCTTTCCGTGCGATTGTCATAATGAAAATTGAGCCAAGCGTATAGTAAGATCCTGATTTATCTTATAATTTGATATTTGTTTAGAATACGTTAGATATCGATTTTTTGCTGAATTTCTGTGGAGAAAACACGAAAAAGATAATAATAGAAAGAAATAATAGAAAGGCGGAATATTTTGCTTTAATTACTTAACTGGGAAACAAAAAGCAAAATTTGTATTTTTTATACTATAAAATTAATTACTATAAATGCATATTATAACATTACTGCTTATTATTTTGTGTGAATGGATCTTAAAGATTTTTTCGCAATAATGGTAAATGATCTTATGCGAGTATATCGCTTTCTGATGTAATACCAATCTTATTACACGCACGTACGTAGAATCTGGGTCATTTCGCTGTAAAAGCAGTCGGTCAATCGCGTCATTGATTTGCTCGATGCACTGTATTTTTTCTTCCCATCTTAATTTCATGTGATTATCGACAAAGTAAACGTAACAAGTGACGAGCTCGTTTTATGTATTCTGAAGCCCTAATAAAGAGTAGCAATAAAGTTTCAAACCTGTTGAGCTTTAATAAATTTTTATATTTATGACGTAACAATCATTATTCATAACAATTATTTATATTGATTATTATAATGACTGATTATGATAATGCAAAGTATTTCAAAATCGCTGATAATTCTAGTGTTAAGAAAAAAGTTAGAAGTTTTACTTTTATTTGAGGAATAGCAAATATTTAGTAATGAAAACTATAAATTTTATTTTTCTGCATTTTTATATGTCTACATATATGATTAAAAATATTCTCTGAGAATTAAAGGATTAATGCAACTTGATTTTCAAGTGGTCGATATGTGCTAGCGATCATGTAATTACAATAATTATGTAAAAAGTGGCGTAAGCAGCTTTGGGGTTAAAAGTGCAGCTTTCACATTCTCGAAGATTTCTATTTTTTGGCGACTTAGTGGTTAAGTGTAGAAAATCGAGAGAGAGAGAGAGAGGAGGGGGAGGGGGGGGCATTTTTTAGGCACAGCATTCGCATTCGTTTTCTAAGCACCACTATTACGAGAATAATGATTACGTATTATTCCGCTATTTACTAGCTACCTCGTTGTCGCCGGTTGGCACGTGCGCGAATTAATTCTCGTGACGAATCGAACATTGTCCAATGAATTAGCGTTAACGCTACTGGAGAATCGTATTAGAGATAATTGATTACGAACCACGTGCCGTTGCGGTTATGGTGCAAGGACAATTGCTCTTGATTAAATAATACATTTATATACATATATTGCAACTACGATTATGATTGATAATAATGTCGATGCGAATGAAAATCCAACAAAGGGTGTTGCAAACTATGTCGGAGCATTTAAATATCGATGTTTTTTATTCGGTAGCGACTTTTGCGACATCAATGTAAGAGTTAAGATGCTAATAAAGATTGTAACAGCCGTTCATTTACTCGGCGCTTTTACAAGGCGGTGAGAGTCTCGCGTGCCAATTATATTTGTCGTGACAGATACCGTTGTCCTTTGTTCAGTCGCTGTTAAGCGCCGCGATTAACCTCATTTTGCAAAATGCGATCGCATTTATGACCTCGTGCTTGTAAAATAGGTAAATATACCATCATTCAATTGTATTCATTGCTGTCTTGTATTAATTACAAAAAGTTAAACCTTTTGTAAATAATTAAGTGAAATATTTAATATATATTTTTGTGTAAAAAATAGTATATTAAAACAAACATGATAGAAAACATTACAGTTGTGTGACAAAGTTGTTCTAATTTTGTTCGAATTCGATACTTGGAACAATGGCAGTTTATAGTGTTAGATTTGTTAAAGTTTTAGAGTAACTCATTGAGCAATAATCTAAAGTATTTCCGTAATATAATCCGGGCAACATTTACGTGTTTGAAATCGCGAAAAGAGCACCGAGTCACATTCCGTGAGTAATTAAAATAAAAATGTTGTGTATGTACCTATGTGGTCGCGGTTTAGAAAGTTACATTATTATGATAGATTGTCGCAATTTGCTTATGAAGCAGAAAACACCCGGAATCGGAAGGGTTGGGGGTAAATCGATATACTTGAAAGCAAATCGATTTCTCACAAAGGAGGAAGTGAACTGCTCTTTGTGGTAACATTTCTACAGGCTGTTCCACCAGTCCTTATTCTGTTTACAGCCAGATTGCTGTAAAAAATTATTATTAAAATTGACAAAGTAATAAAATAAATTGATACTAATTTATTGAAGTAAATATTTAATTAATAAATAAACGTTTCATAATTAAACGTTTGATGCAAGAAATTTATGATGTAAAAGAAGTGTTTTATTTACTATTTTATAACTTTGACTTAATTTTACATGTATAAAATTGGGTATGGATATAAAATTGTAACAAGAATTTATAGAGTAAAGATAAGAAATTGCATAAAAGAGAAATGATAGATACGTCCTTTGTCCGAGAGCACAAGTAAATACGTCGCGAGATTCGATTGTGCGATTTCCCACATCTCCCGGGCGTCCCTTGATCCGATGAAATGGAGGGTGAAATGCAGTTGGCGTTGGCATTACATAAGCGAAGCATGTAACTGTCTCGGTTGCGTTCGATTATGTGGGAAGCCGATCGTAGCGGAGTATCTGAAAACGGCACATGTACGACCGAAGAATCGAATCGAATGCCGGCGTGATCGTTGGAGCGTGACTTTGAGAGCGTTTTATGTACCCGTCCGGTCTCTTTCTCTCTCGCGTAGAGAGATATACTTTACGTATCTTACGTTTTATATCTTATTTATGCGTCTACTGGTTGCGGCGAAATAATTGGCTCCAGGAATAGTTGGGTGGCGCTTTCTCGAAAATCCTTGCTTCGTCAGTGTGGATCGCGATGCGGGATCTCTCGCCTATACAATAGCAAAGAAATTCGCCAGATAGCATGAGAAATATGCTTCAGGTTGTAGGGCGGGCGTGAATAGGAAGTACTAGTAGAATTAAATGTCAGCAGAAAATGACTGTTTAATTTATGCATCCCTTTCTCTACAAGATATAATATATATATATATGATAAAATAACACAACAAAATTTGCTATTTTATTTTATACTTTATTAACCATAGAAGTTAGTAAAAAAGTCTTGAAAAATTCTATACGAAATAAATTCCAATAAACACCTTGAAAAACATAATATTGTGTAGACATACACATATACTTTATAATTATACATACAATAATCCGATACATACGATAAACCGATACAATAAAGTATTGAAATTTTTTATCAATCAATATTATAAAACAAAAGAATTATTTTTTAACATAATTTTTGTAGTAAAATAATAAAACAAAATAAATTATTTTCGAGGCACCCTGTCTTTATCAAACAGTTTTGTTGAGCGCGATTTGAAATAAATAAATAAATAAATAAATAACCAAATCTACGTTTAGGTTACTATTGTTTATCATTTTTTATGTCTCGTTCTCGTCGTCCCTTTCGCTTGATTCCGTTGCCGCTTCTGTGGGCCATTTTCCGGCGGTAGCAGCCGAATCCATGGTAGTAGTGGTGATAGTAGTGGTCGGTGGATCTGTTATCACGATGGGTCCGAGAGGTTCCGCGGTTTGCTCTTCTTCTTTGACAGGTTTCTCGTCGTGCTTGTCCTCGTTCGATGTTTCTTCAATACTAGGCTTATCTGCAAGACCTTGAATTTCATGCGATAATTCTAAGGTCGTATCAGGTGTCGGTGGTACCAGATCCATTGATGGTATCATAGTTTTTATCTGGCATTGCCGACCCATGTAGCCTACAGGACAGATGCATCTGTAAAAGAAGCGTATACGTTTTAGAAAACTTTTAATGCAATACATAATTTTTTAAATGCCTTGCGAGAAATTTTTTCTTTTTATTGAATATTAATTCAAACAAAATTAATGCATTAACTTTAAATTAGCAGTAAAATTATTAATAATAATAGTAATAGAATATTATTAATTTTATTAATATACACTAAATATTTTATTTTATTAATACAAAATTGTGCCGTTGTATTAATCATGTTTGTAAAAAAAAAAAAAAAAATATTTGCCATACTCTGCAAATTACATTTACTTTCGCTATCGTTTCACAACTTTGATAGGATCAAATGTGTCGATTAATCTTACCTATAATTGCCATCCTCGTGGGTCATGCTGATGCAAGTAGCGTTATTCCGGCAGATGCCGGGATGCTCGTCGCAATAGGTGAGCTTCTCGTTGCATAGATCTCCGGCCCAACCGGGTTCGCATCGGCAATCCCACGGGCGTTTGCATGAGCCGTGTACGCATCCGGGATAGGGCACGCACTCGGTACAATTTGGGCCAGTCCAGCCGACGCGGCATCTGCATGTACCTGGTCGCCTGCAGCCACCGTATTCTCGGCTGCATCCTTGAGCGCAGATTGCTAGCAGTATATTATTATATCATTAGTTTATAAAATCAGAGTATTACAATGTTAATATCATTATAGTCAATTTATTAATTTATTTATAATTATTTAATATAGTAAATATAATTTTTTAATTTTCGTAGAATCTACAAATAAGCATAAATGCAATGTTTATCTATTTTACCATGTTTGCTTGTTAAAAATAGAAAACCGTATTTATTTCCGGCGATCCCAAGAAAAGATTTGATCGGCAAACATACGTGACTTTAGATATGTTTTTTTAACCAGTCCTAAATTTTGTTATATATATTTTTATATGTTATCAAAATTATTTAAATACTTTGTGTATGTTTAGAAGAAGGATTTCGTTTTAGTTCTCTTCAAGTGAAAGAAAAATAAGACGATCTTTGTTGATAGTCACGTTTTCGTTTATTTTGGGGAAGGCTGTCTGTTTGTTCTTGTCTCGGACGTAGACTTACGTGTTTGACAAAGCAGCCCGGTCCAGCCTGGATCACATCGACACTCTAGGGGTCCTTGACAGGTCCCGTGGGCGCAGCCTGGAAGTACCGCACACTGTTTGCACTTAGAACCTTGCCAGCCTAAACGACATCTGAAAAAAAATGGTTGCATCAAAATATCTCTTTTCATTATTTTTAATATTATAAAAATATATTTATATTTAGAAGTATTATTTTTCAAGAGGCAAATAAGTTTATTTTATAAATTAAATATATTGTTACAAACATTTTGATTTTGACGTTAATTAAAAAACGGTAATTAAATGAATTTCGATCAAAATTACTGGACCGAGAGCTGTAAAAATATGAAGCGTCCATGCATGTAAAAGGATGCAAATAAATCACCTGCACTCGCCGGGTTTTTCGCAGTAGCCCTGACTGGATAGGCAATCGGGGGCGCAGATGGGTTCGGAGCAAAACATGCCCTTCCAACCGGGATCGCAGGAGCATTCGAAGCTCACGTTACACCTGAAAGTGAAAATCACGTCAGGCTTGTCTATCTGTCGAATGCGATCGATCGATGGTCACGAGAGACCACTCTAAGCGTGGAAATGTTTCGTGTTACACGGAAATTAGGCTTGTCCGCTCGCCCAAGGTGAAAGCGAAGCGGAGCGAAGCTGATCTGGGCTATGTTGTTTAAGCGGCGTTCAATTTATGGCATACGTGCGCGATACGATAAATCGAACCACATTATGGCAGTCTAGGTGCTACATTGTTATCGAGCATAATTATTATCGTACTATCTTTAATATGAATTTAAATAGTCACATTTTTACATTTAATTTTGCTGGTACGTAGAAAAGAAATTATCCGCGCAGAATTTGAAAGAGTATAATCTTTGATTAAAAGTAAAAAATTCAATCTTGTATAATCTTCAAAAAGACTGTAAAAAGTAAAATAACTTGATAAAAAATAATTTGATAAAACATTTGTATGCGCATTAGTTATACTTTCTCTTTCTCGCGGTATTTTATTATCAATCGATCGATCATACCTTCCGTGCTGACACCCTGGCAAGGCCACGCATTTGTCGCATAATTCACCATAAAAGCCTAGCTTGCAGCGACATTCCCCTGGTCGTCGGCAGTAACCTTGAAGGGGATCACAACCTTTGCGGCATATCGGTACATCGCAAAGATCTCCGGTCCATCCTAATAATTAAACAATATTCTGTCATTTCTATCATTGCATTTGGGGAAACGCAATACAAATTATAATTATTTGTGATTTTTTACGATTTTACTAATATGTCTTATTTAAAAAACATTTTTTATTTTAGTATTAATTTGTTTTTTTTTAATTTTATTGCTTCAACTTAATTTAATTTAATTTAAATTAATTTGATACATTTATAATTTATTTTAATATAATATAAAATTTTATTGAGAGAGTTTTATTTAAATATTATAATATCGTATTTTACATACCTGGCAAACATTTCACTTCGCCAGCTTCATCGCAAATGTAGTGTGAATTCGGATGTTGGGATGCCGGTATCTCGCATGCTTGCTTCTTCCATTTTGGAACATATCTGAATATTAAATTTAATAAAATATTAATAGACTAGAGTCAGTAAATTAACATATTGAGAACTTACGTTCTCATCTGAGGAAATGATGACACAAAATATCTCCTGATTCGTTATCAATATGCAAAGAAATTGCGAAATATCATCGTCTATTGGGAATACTTTTTTACAGATTCCTTACGTTTTAATCGCGCGATATGCGTCGAATAACTAATAGATCATAGAACTGAAAAAATATATTTTCAAGCTTATTTTTATAATATTAAAAAGTTGAAGAACGCTGCACTATCTTAAAAGGGAAAAATTTCAATATAATAAATAAATATTTTTGATTATATAAACATATTATTATAAATTAATATTTTAATTATTAAATGTGAACGAGTTATTCCACAATTTTGCAGTTTATAGAACAATATAATTGATCTCTACACACACACACATTTAGTTTCTTCAATACTTTTTTTTTGAACTTAAAATAAAGAATTATAGAGAGAATCTGAAAGTATATTTATTTTTAAAAATTATTTCGAGTAATTCATTTTCGAGTAATCTTTAATTAAATCGCTCGTATAATCTATTTTGATATCATAATTTACGGTACCTGGGCCCGGCGGCGAATCCGATGGGTAATACGGAGGCGCCGAAAACCGTGGCAATCTTGATTAGTCCATTGTTCACGTTCAATTGCGCGAGTTGATGAGGAAAGTTGACGAGGAAGCAGGCGAGAAACAGTGGTATTATCATCTTGGCTTGACTTCCGAGCCAAGACTGCGAGGACGAAGACGTTCAAGGCGATGCCTAGGATAACGGGACCTTGTTCGAGGTCACGGCACACTTTTCACTGCATGCACATGTGTGCGTCACGACATACGTTCGCCTGGTACAGCTCTGACTTTTTCACGATTCATCGTGAGTTCGTCATTCGAGTTCAATGTACTTTGTGAACGAGGTTCAGTCGAGAATAAAAGGAGAGAGAAAGAGAGAACGATTTCTCCCCAAGAAGAGCTATTCTGAACATCTTTGAAAATTCTGGAGAAAGCCTTCTTAAAACCCTTCTTAGAACCAGTAGCCACAGAAAACCCGTTGTTCGTCTATCTTCTATTCGACAAGGGACTCAATTGTTGAATTTTATATTACGCCTGTTAAAATTTAAAGAACTAGAGAAATGTGATTTAAATGTTGAGTAAAAAAATGTTGACACATTACAATAATTTTTTAATGAAAAATGAAGAGTATTTAAATTTCAAAGATAATTTTAAGAACTTTTTTTTATTTTTTGCTGACTTAAAATTTTCACAAAGAGATCGAATTATTTTATACATGTTTGTACATTTGTAAAATAGTATTGACAAACATCGCGTTTTCTGTGGTCGCTATGGTCCTTTTAGGATTTTAGAAAAACTTTCTTGAGAATAGTTGAAAGTAATGGAAATAATTGAAAATTGATACAATATTCTAATTAAATATTTTTACAAAAATTTATAGAATATCGTGATAAAGAAATAAAATATTTCTGAAAGAATTAATTTAATATTTTAAAATGTTGGAATAAAATAGTAAAACAAGGCGAATTGTATTGATCTTGACACGCATTTATTTCACTAATTTATACAAGTATTATACAATTATACAAATACTGTACAAGATTGCAGCTATGTATTATTTACAGATAAATACTAAAAGTTTCTCGCGCTTGTCGATTTTCAGTAATAGGAACTCTTATGGAATTCAGTCTATTCGTTACATTGTATTGAGCTAAATCAGTGGTGGTTTATTATGTGTTATTCGCAACGTAAAGAAATATCAAAATATTTATAAGATCTCTCGACTAATATCGTTATTTCGTTACTCATTATTCGTATACTTATTATTAAGTTTGTACATTTGATCTTCTGTCTTCTCACGCACGACGCAGAATTTTTACAAAAGTACTATTGAACATTGTAACAACGTCGTTTTCGATAATACTCGACGTATTTCGTAACGTAAAAAAATATTTGTACCCTCTATTTTTTTCTTTTTTGAGATAATTTTGCCGGAAGAAGAAAAATGCTGCTGTGAAACGCAACATTGTAACGTAAAAATAAAATATTTGGATAGAAACATTTGCAGCGATATTTTTCTTTTCGTGTAAAATTGTCGCAAAAAAGATGAAATATCTTTTTGTGCAAATATTTTTTTCTAATCATTGCACACTAGACATTATATTATCCTGCATTCATTGATTCTTGTGCCTTAAGAAAAAAAAATCTTTTCTAAAAATCGTGATCGTTACATTTTGGAAAGATATGGATAAAATATGGACTATGTATATAAGAAACATATAAAACGGTTTAATTTGTTTTCACAACAAAGGGATGTGAAATATTCTTTGATTTTAGTTTTTATCTTTTGCAAATTTTCCATTATAATCGCAAGTGGAAGACCGTGCTTCTTTACACGAAGCAAATAAAATCCCTGAGTTGTACTCTTTACCTGGGTTTGGCGATATAGTCTTTAATCTTTATACAGCTGCCGAGTCGCGTTTACGTTTTACAAGTTTGCTTTCTTGTCTTGCAAGTTCGCGTTTATGTCTCGCGAATTTGCCTTCGTTTTTTGTGAGTTTGTCGCAGTCTGTGAATTTTTGTTTGTATTTATAATTGTTTTTAAGATGCTCTGCACTTGCCATATATTTTTATCACTTTTCTTCTTCGTCACTTCAATGTCTTTCTCTTTCCTCTTCGGCAGGCGTCCCTCCTCCAAATTGTTCACTAGTCTGTTTGGTTTACTCGACAAACGTCGATACAAGACGTTTAATATATAAAATATAATTATATGCAAAGTTATAATCGCGGGAAACATGACAAACCACCATATACTGCAAAATTGTTCAATCGGCTTCCAGAGAAGTATATTCCTGAACCGGCTGCGGGTGTTGACGACGATCGGATAACTACCAGGACTATCATCGGTGGTTATCCTAACTAAATATTTGCTGTTAGAAGGCAAAGAGATGTGCGCCGATTCACTGTCTGTCACCTATAGAGATGGGATTGATATGTATATTCCATATGTATTTACAAATTACTTCAATATTTCAATATTAAGTTTTACTTAATGCGGCTTCAATACTACTTATAATATTAAATTCGAATTTTTTAATCAAACTGGCAAAGTACGTAACTCAAGTAAATTTAAAATCTTAAATTATTTTTTAAAATAATTTTTTTGTTAGCAATATCAAAAATAAAAATTTTTTAAATATTAGGTGTTATTGTATAGATGCATATACAAAAATCTAAAAAATAGGAACTAATTTTTATTATTAAAATGAAAAGTTGCTTCTATTTCTAAGATCGTTTATTTTCATCTTATGTTGATTATGGATTTTTGTATTCAATTTAACGAATACATGCTATATATTCTTTAAGCTCCCTTTTTAACACATCGAATATGATACTAGTTTTAAATAGATTTCATTTAATCTTTCTAATTACCTGATTGCCCATAATGCCATCTCCTGTCTCGTACTGCCAGGTGACAACAAATGACGGTTTCTTCTTCCATGGGTAAAATCCGGTTTTATGCTTAAGCTCAGGATAAGCTTTTTGAAGTTGGTGCTCCAATTGAGCGTGCCAGTCTTTCCACGTAATATGAGCTTGATAAAGGGGATCGCCCACTTTAAGCGATTCCAGTGTAGGTTTCCACATTTCCCAACTATAATAATAACAATAATAATAATGATTATAACAGTTTTGTAGAATACAAATTAATAAAATATGTACAAAATGTACAAAAAAATTTATAAATGTAAAATAACATAGTATCTTATTATATTATGAAAATCACAATACTTTTGTAGATTGAATAGTTAAAAAAATCGATTTATTTAACAAAACTAAAGAATTACATGATTTGTTTAAGAATAATAACTTCAAAATCGCGGAAATTTGACTTTGAAAAGAAATTCTTTTAAATTATAAAAATCGTTCTTTTGAAACGAATTATTTTACTTGACTATCATACTTTATAATAAAATTTATTAGACTTTAATCAGCACTTTTAAATGTATATCTTAGAAAATTAATTTTTGTTTGCGAGATTTTTCGTATTTTTGTCTAACACTATTTTCTTTTCATAGCAAAAAACGCAATAAAGAAAGTATATATATAATACCTGTAATGTCTGAGCGTGCCATCCTCACTAGCGACAATGATCCAGGCGCCTTCCGGAAGTGTAGATATTTCGTTTGCGGAGTAATAATTGTCCGTTAACCATCTACCTTTAATATTTTTGCGCATTATCACGGCTACGTCGTGATCCTTCATGTGAATTGTTTTGCACTTTTCAGGTGCTGGCAACTTACTCGGTTCGTATTTATCTTTTTCTGCTCCGCGAGTTTCGTAAAATACACATGCCGTATGAATGCCCGCATAATTTGGCTGTAAGAAAAGACATAAAATGACAAATGCGCACTAAATCTATTTTATATATTAATAGGTATAGTTTTTACAACTCGTGAATAATCGTAAGATTTTAATGATTACATTGAGTATAATAATCGAATCTCTTTCTGATATTAACATATTTTTCTGATTGAATAACATTTCACAATAATCCCACGAAGATTTTGCAATAGTAAAAATTTCACGACAAATTACTTTTACTATCATCCAAAAAGACAATTTTTTATAGTAATTTTTTATAAACTAAATTTTAAGAATGTAAAAAGAGGATCCAATTTTTCCTTTCAAGTGTTTGAGAGAGGGACATTCCAATCTTTGTACTAACGCTACCGTTTTCTACGCGAACGAATGTTCTGTGAAAATCGACAGGTAGCCATTTTCAAGGATTTCGTCCTAAGCCTATCATTGTGTGAGATCGTTAGGTCTCCTTTTTTCCGTAGACTCAAAAGTTAGGCCTGAATGATAGCTAAGATTTTTCCCGTACTTGATAGTATTTTTAACTTTTTCCTCGAGACATAACAAAGCGCTAGAAGTATATCACGCGCTTAGAAAAGTTTAGTAACTTGAGATGACGATTTAGGACTTTGCACAAATGCTTTTGAACGATACATTATATATATATATATAATGGATATATAATATTGTATTAAAATATTACACGAGTGGGCGGCAGAAAGCATCATCCATAAAACTTTTGTTTAAACTAGAAAAATATTGAAGTTGATTATATATTATATTATATATTAAATTTATCCTGATTTAATATTTCAAAATTTTTCTTATATGGGATAGATGCTTAAGTTGGTGTGCAAAAATTGAAAAACTTTATTCTATAGTTATATACATATATAAATCTGTAAATAGATATATATCACTCACTATTGCTTTGTGTTTTTTGAACGCACTGCATACAGCGTGCCTGTTTTCTTCTTCCATAATGCCGAACATAGCACATTGCCTCCAACACTGTAACACAAAAAGTGAAAATTAACATACGTATATTTAAGAAAATTAGACTTTTTAAACATCGGTTTTGTCGACTTTACAAATTTTTAATTTTTAGAGGCATGTTTAAATTTGTATTTTTTCAAATTTTTAACATTAAGTTCTTATTCATTAAAAGACTCTGAGCTGAAGAACTCTGGGAAGAACCAGAGAGATTCAGCAACGAACAAAAATCTTTCGCGGCACACATGGGACGCGTGAGAAGAAAAAGGAGCCACTAGATGGGGAAAGATATGGAAGGAGTTTGATGCAGAAGGGAAGGGCAGAATAAAAAACGTTGAATCGAGCGATTTAAGAAGGGAAGAGAAGACGAGAAGCGTGGAAGAGAGCGAAATACTGTGAGGAAGATGGAAAAAAGGAGGGAGGACAGGAGAGGTGAAAGGGGGACTGAATTAGCTCCAACCTGTTCCCGGCCAACAACAGGCACTGTCGCTGTTGTTGTCTTCATATTTATTGAGGTACCGATTCTCGAGAGTGGGCTCGCCCTGTTCCCAAATTTCTTATTCCCTTTTTTTTCTTGTGGTCGGAGACATCTCTCTCTCTCTTCTCTCTCTCTCTTCTCGTAACTCTCTACTCTACTCTACTACTTACTACTACTCCTTTTCTACTGTCGTCTCTCCTCCTCTCTCTCTCTCTCTCTCTCTCTCTCTCTCTCTCTCTCTCTTTCTCTCTCTTTTTTTTGTCTCCCTTTTTCGATCCCCGATTACCCTTCTCCGCGTCACGCGTACCCTCACTAAGACCGCTTCGTAGAAACGACAGGCCCTCGTGGGCTCCTGTTAATGACATTTCCTGAAAGCTATGCCGAGACGTGTTTCACTGGCTAACTGGCACCGAAAGAAATTTCGACTCTGAGGGATGTGTTTTCCATTTGTATCATTTTTTTTTTTAGAAATTTAGAATTTTTTCCAGAATTTTATAAATATATGTTAAAAATGATATTACACAAGTTAAAAAAATATTTAATAAGTACTGCTTTTATTAAGATGTTATAATAAATATTCTCTAACATATGAAAGGAAAAAGAAAATAATAGTTTTAAGTATATAAAGATAACTCTGAGCAATTGATTAATAAGACTGATTGCATTATTGCTTAGAAAATATACCGCATTTCCTAGTAACTTTTTATTGAACAAACAAATTTCTGGCGCCGAAAACTTACTTCTTTAGCGAAATCAGACCGGTTAATCTTAGCGTGCTTTATCGATCGACGATCGTACCTGAGTTATCGAGGTACGATCTTCGGTTCGGGCCGTAAAACAAACAGTGTCACGTAGTCCTGTCTGGAAATCAATGACTCGTCTGTCTGGCGACTATAAGCTCGTAAAGTGAGATAAATGGGCGCGCAGAGAAACTGACCGGCGGCCTCGAAAGCGAACGAGAGTCTGAACGATTCCAAAAAAAAAATTACGAGAGAAATTAGGAAGTTACTATTTTATAAATAGTTTCTAATGTTCTATTATGACAAAATATGTTTTAATAACATATTAATAAAGAAAAATTTTTAATAATTTAATATAAAAAAATGCATAACTATTTTGATATTATTTTTGTCATTATTTTTACACAAGATTTATGAAATTTATTCTAAATTTGTTGGAAAAAGTGTTATATTTTGTTGGGATATCCTCTGGATTATTCATTCTGGAGGATCCATTCTCTGGATGGAGAATGCATTATATTTCATACATTTCTTGTTTTATGTCGTGTTCGAAATTCTATTAATTATAATGCATTAACAATATTATTTATTTTGCTTTAACGAGCGTTTTTTTCGACATTATTTTATCTGTGAAAATAAAACAATTACGAAAAGTCTTTTCTTCTTTCAAAGTCATTATGCCATTATCGGTGTGTGGGTGGGTCGCCCCTTTCTTTCTCGCTTTCTCTCTCTCTTGGGGGAGAGGAAGAACGCGCTCAGTTCTATAGTGTTTGTTAAAGGCCCCTGCCCGTTCTCTCGGCAGGCTGTTATTCTAATGCGTTTCTCCGTTGCCAACCTCTTTTTCCCTCGGGACGCATTCGTCACAGGGACCCACGCGTAAATTCGAACATTCGGCCCTTTCGTCCTCGCAGGACACGGAATCGGCGGATCCCACGAAATTAATGGACACCCCCCGCAGCATCGAATGAGCAACGCCCTCGCACGCGTGTGCGCACTGTACCCCATGATTCCCCCTAATTATAATTCTCATCTGTCCGTATCGAGGGGGTAGCGACCACACCTGGTGATTTTCTACTTCTCTCAGTAAATTTAACAATGAGATTTATAATAGATTTATAGATTGTCGGCAAAAAAATTGGCATTCGTCGTTCTTGTATTTTCAAGTCACAAATTGTGCAAATTAGAAAATTATTTTTGTAATTATTCAAAATTATTGAAGTTAATAAAAATGAGAAATCTTGTTTTTTATTGGAATTTTTTGATGCGACTATCGCGTACGCTATCCATGTGGAGAAATCGAATTTTTTAAAACTTTTAGAATGTAAATCGATAACGGTATATCATAAGACAGTTATACTTACTTGTAAACAATAATTTATTTCAGTATCGTTCGTGCATTTCACGCCGTCGACGATGTAAGTCATTTGACAAATCGATCGACAGTGGGCGATTCTAATGCTTGATCCGATATCCTCAGACTGAATCAAATTATTGACCGCTAGAGTCAACGTCGCGCACAATATTAGCGGCAGAAACCGCACGATTATCTTCATCTTTAAAAAATGAACGAATCTCGTTTTTCACTTTTCACCACAAAATAATTTCTTATTTGTCTTTTTGTAAAATTAAAACTCTGAGATAATATTCACAATCCAATCGTGCCAGGCACAACGGCGACGGGTACAGGTTCCACGAACGAAATTTCGGTACGACTGTGGCCCTTTAGGCATTCTGGACCCTCCTTATATAGTTGTCTCCCACTACATGCTCCTGCGTGCATTTTCGTGAGCCCCCACTCTTACCGGGTTACCGGGAAGAGCATCCCTCGTAATTGCACATCGTCCCTTGGCATATGGCCTGCCCCAGGTTCCAGTTCCTGACTGAATTATTCGGCTCGGTATGAAATATAGGCCATACTGAAAAAATTTTATAAGTAGGATTAGAATATTCTTTGTAAAACAAAGTTTTTTTTAATAATATGTTTTTTTATTAATAGATACAAATAAAAGAATTAAATAAATAACTAAATAGTCAATTAAAGCTAAGAGATAAATTGTAAAATGCAATATATAAATAAATGATCAAATATTTTAAGAAATTGTTTAATAGGCACAGTAAATGAAACTAGAAACAAGCTAATCTTTCATAAGCGCACGTTTCCATGAAATAATAACAGATGTTTTTTATGAAAGTTCTCTCAAATAGAATATAATTCATGATTTCATGATTTTGGCGGGAAATTCTTCAATTTTCTATTCTCGAGCGACGAAAGACGAAATTTAATCAGTTCTGAGAGCAAAATCAATTTCGAACCGTGTCCAAGAACCGTCAAATGGCTAATTTTTTTATTTTTTATTTTTTTATTGCGGTAGAAAAGTGGTTGGTCGGAAGTAAGATAGCGTTTTTTGGATATTATGCCGCGCGGGGATTTTGCATCGTGGATCATTTTGATCCACGACCATACGGACCGTGGATAATTATGACAGGCTCTAGAGAGTGCGGTCATAATGCGAGGGCTACAAAACAATGTTTGCTGAATTACGAAGATATTCTGCACCTAGTTCTTCTCTTTTTTTCAAAGAAATCCATTTGTGATTTTTATAATTGAATTTTCCTCAATGAAAAAAAGTATTAATTGTAAAGAAACTACTGTAAATATTTATATTGCATAACTTTTATTTTCTTAAAAAAATAATATAATATATCAAAATTAGTTGAAAAAGAAAGTAATAATTTTCTAGATATGAATGTTATAGAAAATTTTCTTTATAAATATAATTTGTTATATGTATATTACTAATAATGTAATAGAGAATTTTCTCAGTAATTAATCATTGTTTTTGAACTTCTCGGAAAAAAATGACCAACTCATTGTGTTTTAGTCAAGTCTTTCTATTATATTTACAAAATTTAGGCGCAATTACGTGTTCTGCTTATCCAGCATCCGGGGTATATTCTTCCGGAAAATTTAGTAAGAAAGAGGATGGAGAAGATCCAGTATAGATTCTTAAAAGGGATTCTCTTAAAGGGCGTGTTGCGGATCAAATGATCGACCCACCCATCGAAGTTTGATATTACCTTGAAGATTCGTTGCGTGTTCCTTCTTTGTCTTTCTCTCTTCCTACTCTCCATCCGGCAGGTATACGAGCTGTTCTAACCATCTTTAGAATCGTAGAAGAAAAATAAAGTTTATAAAGTACGGAGAGAGGAAAATGAGAAGCGAAGGAGTAGGCCTTATCCCGCCGGAAGCCGGGGGGACTTGGGTGCTCCGCGCTACGTCACAATGCACAGGATGTGTACAAATAAGGGTATTTGTCCTCGAGGTTTGATTGTGGGACAAAATATAAGTATGTGACGTTAAGGATATGTTAGAGAAAGAACCGGGTTGCATCTCTTGTGCTTGCGCTTGCTGGCAAAATAGAAAAGGGGGGGGGGGCGATCTATTCATCTAGGCGGCGGCATAGCTTAGGGATGGTGCTCCTTCAGTGGACGCGAGAGCGACATTTCATTGTGCTCCGCGCTTTTCACACCTGGACCAGGCACGGCTGTCAGTTCCGCTCCGCTTTGCTTGGATCGCGCGCAATCGGCGGATGATGGAAATATTATTTCAGGATTTATTTCTTAACGAAACGATGTGAAGCAACACGTGATTTATTTTACTTTCTATGAATTAATTTCTAAAAAAAATTATTAATTTAAATTTTTTTATGATTTATTTTTAGGTTATTAATAAGTTATTGATAAAGTTATGGAGAATTTTCTCTCTATAATTAATAAACGTTTTTGATTTTTCGAATTGTTAGAATTATTACTATTGCATTTTAGTTGTCTTATCACTATGGCCACGAAAATAAAATATATTAGACGCTCTGTTTATTATCTGGAATCTCGAGTTTATATAATGATAATAAGTAAAATTCCTATCGTTACGCATCATTACACAAACGTTCTACAACTTCTATGGCTTAGGTAATTATTTAGATCTTTTCCTTCCAGTTCCTTTTTCTTTTATTTATTCACACTTTTTTTATTATCAAGTTTTTCTTGCTTCATACTTGCTCTTTTTGTTATTTTGTAACACACGTACTTGTTTTTGTTTTGTTAACATTTGAGAATTAAGATTGTCAAAACATTCATTTCTTTCTTCGAGCATTCTTATTTTCTTCTCGCTGTAGGTGCAAAATATGTTTGTTAAGGATTCTATAATCCATGGCTCACATTTTTAGTAGCATCTGGTCTTATTTTTTTCTTTTTTTTTTAGGAATTTTTACGAAGGAACATTTTTATCACGTCATTTTATCTCATTTCTCGTATTTTTCACGATTTCTGTTTGTTGCGAACGGCAACTGTTTATCAGTCCTGTAATCCGGGGCGGACACGAGGGATTACGTGAGTCCCAAGATTTTACGGAGAGTGTGTCTTTTCTAAAAGTTGCAATAGTTGAAAGACCGTACCGGAGAAATTCCGGCGTCAAGCGAAACACCGTAATCGCGTTTTCCCATCGGCAGTGATCGAGATTTAGATTTTATCTACGGCTCTCGTAGATTTATTGCAGCCGCATTTTCTGTACGCATTTTGTATCTTGGTACAATCTTTCTTTATACACATAATATTGTTTCGTAAAATTGGCATAATGATAAAAAGGAATATTTTATATTTTATTGACATAAGATTTTTCATATATTACTTTATTATCATGTTGGCTGTCTAGTGAGTTTTGTTTGTTTTATTATGTACAACGGAGAAAATTTTATATCGAAAATTGCTATGTACGTAGCCGCGGACCATGAAGGAATTATAAAAATTTTTACTGTTTTCCACATGTGAAACATAGTGAAAATTTTCGGTTTCATGGTTCGCGTTATTGCCGTACATAGTAATTTTTGATATAAAATTTTCTCCATGTACACAGTGAAATTTTTATTATCGCAGACCTATATCTATGAACAATAAATATATAATTAAATAAGATCACATTTTTTATATCTAGATAGTGTGTTTATTTCACTGATGATCACCGACTGACTATCGGGGCACAGTAATACTTAGTTGATATTGTGACATTCTATTTAAATTTTCTGCTTTAGATTACACATATAAATTAAAGATACTTATATAGTGGATAAAAATTAAATTACATCTAACTTATATAACTATAGTATTGTTTTTCAGACATTATTTTAATGTAAATGTATTTATATTTTACAGATAAATTTTTGTGCGTGTAATCGGTACTACGAAATACATTCGTTTTGTGAGTGCGTGTCGGGAGTTTAAAGTGTCGCGCGATTATCGTATTAGAATACGCACATGAACAATGTGTGCGACGCGTGTGAGTGCTTGGAGGACCACTGAGAGGAGGAGAAGGCCTGGGTGGCATCGGGTGACAGCAGTGCAACAATACGGTGAGTAATTTATCATAAAAACTATTTTTTTTAATAGTGAGGAGGCTATAAAATATAATTTACATACATTACACGATTAATAAAATATGTTAATATAACTCTAAATTTTTGAAAAGTTATATTTAAAAAAGTTCTAAAACTATGTTACAACATTTTTTTTGCAATTTATTATTTTATTGAATTTACGGTACGTCATTCTCAAAAATTGGCCATTATTTCGCGAAATTCTGTAAATTCGTTCCATGACGATCCCGGATAAATCACGTGTTTCGCCAATAATTCGAAAGATTCTTCGACCGATGAGACTAACAAAGCGTAAAATGCTGGCCGTTTCATTTCATTGGAAATGAAGGCAAAGGTTTTGAAAGGCAGTTTTCGCGTCAAATGTGGCAGCGACAAATTTTCATTGTAAATTGTATTTCCCTTCGTTTCCCTTCGCGTTTGTGCCGCGAAGCGGAATAAACAGCGGTGCAGACACGTTTCTCTAAACGACAGGTGATGGTAGGGAGCTTCTCTATTGAGACACCTAGGGCCTTATCTCCTTCCTTCTCATACGAGGACATTGGTAGCGACTGAATTGCTTACATTTGACAAATTTTTAAAAAGCAGAATTTATATCACCCGCCAGGTCAAAAACCGGCGGAGAGTTTACGACTTTGTCGTGCGGGGAGACGGACTCTCCGCCTTTCTTCGTGCAGCTCCCATCTCTCTGCGTTATATTGTGAACGCGCTGCATTACTGGTATATTACTATAGACAGTATTAATACAGGCGGTATTATATACACACAGCTTTGGTGTATTTTCAAGACTACTGGCCTTTTTTATTTGCAGAAGGGCAATAAGGGCAATTGTCGTCTCTTATTATTTTGGTTTCTTGATGAAGGAAGATGAAGGAAGAAATTAATAAAATATATTTTCATTATTTTGAAATTACTCTTACTTACATTTATTATTCTATATTTTTATTATTGGTTATTATTTTATGTTATATGTGTTTGTTATTTTATATCTTTTTTTTTGTTATTTTAAAATTATATTTTTTATTTAAACGATTAGTTAAAGTTTTTGCGATAATTGTTTTCCCTTATTTTAGAAAAGAGCGTTTGCTATAGAATAGAAAACTTTTAAAGATCTTAAAATCTTTCTA